GCTTCTCTTCCAATCTTTAAAGAGAATATTTGATTCGGATCACTAAAATCTTCCTGAATATTTTCATAAAAATTTTCAGATTGTTTTACCAATTCATTAAACGAAGCCAAACCGAGTATACCATCAAATTCATCGAATTCAAAATTTTTGGGAAGTACATCAACTAATCCAAAATCCAAGCCATTATTCTCAATAATGCCAGTATCATTATTCAAACCAGAATTATATCCATTAATATTCATAGAGGTGGTGGTACCCCTTATTCCAAATACAAATCCACCGAAATAAACATATCCAAAAGTTTGATTTTTTGTTCGAAAAGATGTATCATTTACTGGATTATATTTAGCTTTATTTTCGCACACTGTAGAATTACAATTTATAGACGGAATTAAAAATTCTCAAAATCCAGTGTCAAACATTACAGTGAATTTTTGGTTACTGAGAGTAATTTCACAGAAATACGCATTATCATTACTAAATTCATCGGATAAAGTCACATTAGTAGCTCGCTTTATATTGATAGCATTGGATGATCCTGAAGCATAATATAATATAAGAGAATTAGAAATTGTTTTCTTTTTTAATGGAATTGTGTATGATTTAGATGATTAGTAGGTAACGCATTAATAAGTGAAATTATAAGGACAAATATATGATAAATTGAGGTATATAACGATTTTATCTAAAGGAATCTGTTTATTTTCAAATACTAGGAAAACTAGATCCGTTGATTGCTTGATTTTTTATTTCAGTATCAACGTTAAATATAAATACGTATGTATTTAATTGATCGTCCTTGACTTGTTCAATAATATTTTCATGATCATTAAATTTAAAGGGTTTACGTACTTGTTTATGCCGGTAATTTAAGTCCCTATTTAGAAATTAATCGACAACATTGTATTACAAAATATATTCACCTACAAAATTGATGACGAACTTAAACGAGTAAATGCTATTTAAATTGCTTATTTTAAATATATCGATAAATCAAAAAATTCGAAGCGAAATTAACTGAAAATGTTAACGAAGATGTTACTGAAAATTAAAATCCAGAAAATCAAAAATAAATTAATGTTACTCACAATGTATTTTGTGTGTGGAAATTCCTTCAATAAACTAATTACGTTGAAGCATGAGCAAAGTTAAAAAACACTAAATCCAAGTGACCAAGAATTTATTAAAATTCAAGGAGTTACCAAAATTAAAAAATTTAGCCTACCAAAAGTGCATTTGTGCCAATATTAAGATTTTATTGAAGATCGAAAAGTGTTACTAAATAGAGACAAAAATAAAAAAATACAGTCAACTCTCTCTAACTGCAATTCATTGGGACCAGATGTTTAGCAATATGCATTTAGAGAATAATTAAATGAATTGCATTTATAGAGACAAAACTAGTGCTCCGAATCGGGTCGGGTTCGCACGAACCTAGCATGACCACCAAAATCAGTTACAGACGGAGTTAAAATCATTTACCGAAAATTTGGTGATACAATGTATTAGCTATTTATGATGATATTATTAATAATATTACGATGTAAATAATGACGATATTTGTTGGTATGACGATACCTGCTCATAATACAACAACAAGTGCTGCTTAAAAATTTTCTTACCAAATATTCATAAAAATTTATTAATGGAAATTAATTATTTAACCCAATCGAATTCGAAAGAATGTTCGTCTTGCCAAAAAAACAAAACAGATTAATGAATTTGACAGTAGTAAAAGAGCATGTATCGAATGCTTAACTCGTATAAATAAAGGCCAAAAACGGAAATGTCAAGAGCAAAATACAAATAACATTTGTGAAATGCAAGAAAATGCTATAGAGTTTGAAGATCTCGAAGATATCATTTATAAAAAACTTATGAATAGTGAAGAAGAGGATTCATGAATATTGCAGATGATGATGAATTAAGTGAAATAATGAAATTGAATTAGAAATTATCGATCAATATAAAAAAACTCATCATGAGGTATAGCTTATTTATTATTTTTATCAAATTAATTATACAACATAATAAATAGAAGTATTAATATTAATATAGACGCTTGACCTTCTTGAAAAGTTATATAGTCTTCCGCAACAGAAAAAATGGTTAAAACATATTGAATCAAATTTTAAACCAATTCAGAAAATGGTAGAAGAAACAAAAAATCTAAACCAAGCAAAGAATCTTCAAAAATACTTTTTATTGGTAATTCGAAACTTGCAAATATTCATATTATAAGATTATGTAAAGCCAATAATAAAAGTTCAAATTATTCGAATAAACTTGGCATTTTTCTTTTTTAAACACAATAAAAATTTTAACGATAGTATTTAAAATTTTAATTAAGTTTATAACGATAATATCAATATATAATATAAAAAAAAATGTTATTGACCTGCTGGGTTACGAGATCAAATCAGATTTTAAACAGCGATGTAACTGATTTTGGTGGTCATGCTAGGGGGGTTGTCGGGTTCGGGTTAGAAATTTCTGACCCGACCCGAAAATTATCCAATTTAGAAATGCGCGAAATTAGCATTTTGTGCTTTTTTTTTGGTTCTAATAGCAAGTGCATATGTATTAAATAATATTTTAAATAAAACCTCAAAATGTAGTCAAGTATGCACCAATCAGATTTCTTCAAACGATCGACACAAAATTT